TATCTCACTGGGGAAAGCTTTTCACCCCACCAAAAAAAGGAAAAAATTTGGATCTGCATGGATACCAGCAGCAGCAAACTTGTAATGGGTCTTCACATATTCTTTTTACAGCAACTGCTTATTCAAGATGCCATGGGAGAACAAACCAGACCAATATATTCTGCACAGGTGGTCTTCAAGAAGTTGAGATATCAACACAGCATGCCTTCGAAACAAATGACGTTGCCTTTACAAAATAGTGCAGCATTTGAAATCATTTGAGGACGGGAGGTTCTTTCTGGACCAGAGGACTCTGTAGCGAGTTAATGCTTTAAAAAGCGAAATCCATTCATGTTATCCATAAAACATGTAAGAGGCTGGGTGACTTGAATGAAACAGAAGTTAACTTGCAGGTGGGGACACATGTTCTCTAGCTATTCCCTTAATTGTCAGAAGAGACTGCCGCAAGTAAGGGGCACCGTATGTCTATCTATGAATCAAAAAAGTTACTAGATTCTTATCCAATGCTCTACACCAAATGTTTATGAAGAGCCCAAGCAGGATATAACACACTGGGCACTTATTCTGTACATGAAACTCCCATTCATTCCAAAGGGGTGGGTGCAGGATACATGCCCAGCTCAGAGCCAGACCGTCCGCCACTCTGCAGTGCCTCTCCCAGTCTCTAAATGGAGCAGTTGAAGAGAGAGATCTTTATTGCCTTCTTTTAATGCACTGAACACAGATACCGACAATTGTAAGCACCTTAATGCAAGCCTTCAATCCTCAGCTGTATATACTTTTTCTGAAAATGTTTACCTTTCTTGTTTTTAAAGTTGACTAAAACAAACCAGTTTGAAGTGTTTCCCCCTCAAGTTGTGCAATTTCCAAAAAAGCAACACATGGAAAATATGTACTATATGTGTATATACTTTTGTACGATGGAAATGTTTTAATTTGGCCCTTTTTGTTTCTTTTGCATAATAAAATTATTTATGCTATTGTGAATATTAATGAGAAATCAGTTCCACCGAGTGCAGTAACCTATGTAAAATGCTGTAGCAGTAGATTGTGGTTTGTGGGATTTTGTAAAGAAAATTAAAACTTTTTAAAGTGGAAGTTTCAGATGCAGTCATTTGTCTAAGACTTTTTTTAAAAAAAGGAACTAGGAATTTTGCCACTTGGTTGGAGAAAACCCAAATGCAGACTGACATTCATTAGGTGTTTTGGATCACAGCTCCCACCAGCCTGTCACCGTGACTTTGCTGTCTGGGGCAGATAGGAATTGTAAACCAAAACAGATGGAGGGCACCAGGTTGGTGAAGGCTGCATTAGGAGCAGCCTGATATTAACATAGCTGCAGCTATTTTTAGTTGTCATAGACAGGACACTTAACTGAAGTGTTGGCAGTGCAAAATTGCTCTCACAGAAAGGGAAGCAGAGACAGGACACATTTGACCCCGGGAATCTCCCAAAGCGCTAGAAATCTGTCTGGTTCAATTCACCAGCAAACGTTTCCTTCAGGAAAGCCAGCCCCCCCCCCCCAGTTATGTAACTACTGCTCCACAGCCGCTAGATCAGAGCTCAGGTACAAAATTCTAAAAGGGTTCTCGACCTTTCCGTGCTCTTTCTCCTAGTGACAACATGCCAGCTTTCCTTCCCTCCCTCGCTCACTTGAATCTTCTTAGCAACAAGCTCACTGCCTCGAAACCACCAGCTGTCTTTTAAAACCCAATGCACCCCCTACGACACATTCCAAATCAAAGCACCCAGTCATCCTTGGGAGCTTTTTTTGTTTGGGGAGGGGGGAACCATGTGACTAATGAGAGTTGTAGTCCACAACATCTGGAGGAGACCAGCTTGACAAAGACCATCAATTTTGCATTCTGCTTCCCCCACCGAGCTCGTTTGACTTCATGGTTTGTTTTCCAGAGTATTCCAAAGAGACAGATGCTGCCCAGATTAGGATACAAAGCTCCCATATCCCTCCTTCCCTCCCCCAGGCCTTTTAGCAATTGAACTTACAAGGGTGGGTAGAGTATGTAGCATTGCAATAATCCACACTGTCAGCATCTGTAAGACTGCCTCCTTCTGCAGGCATGTTTATGCTCTGTGAAGGGGGATGTGCACATTAAAAAAAAAATCTTGTTAAAAAATAGAGCCTTGAACAGCTCAAGGCTAGCCAACCTGAAAGATCGCCTGCCCCTGTAGAGACCTATGGTGTCACTTAGATCGTATGGGGAAATTCCACTCTGTGGAACATCATAGGGCAGTGGCACAAAAAAGGGCATTTTCCACTACTGCCCCTGTAATTATGGAAGGTCTTTCTCTTTGCCATGCATGAAACAGCAGCCATCAGCTGCTTCAGACGTCTTGTAAAGACCTAGCATTTTAACCAGGGTTTCCCTGACCTATAAGGTTGGACGCTGCCTATCGCTTTATGAATTCGTTTTTATTCTGTGCTGCAGGCAGTTGGACTAGCTGACCCTCAAGGTCCCCTCCAACGCTACAATTTTATGATTCTGTGGTTTAATGTTGCAATTTTGTAGCAATGTTATTATTTACTGTTTCTATGTTGCATGCATACTACACACACACACACACACACACACACACGATATATATATGGTAAAATATTGAAACCTGCAGTATTGGAAGACCAGCGACTTGGTCAGAATTGGAGGTTTCACAGAGTTCATGCCTACTGTTTTGTTGGCGGAGGCCAAAGTCCAGCTCCCAGGCTGCCAATCAAGGTACAGCATCAATCTTATGAAAAGGAACCTTTGTGTGTTAGTTCACAGAACCAGGTTCACAGGAGAACTGGTGGCATTTCATCTCACCACATTAACATTATCTGTATCAAGAGAGGCTGAACAGCTTGGACTGACCCCAAAGTTTCTTATTTGCACCCCAAAATTAAAATGAGACAACAACATGAATCTGAGAGTTCACACTTTGGTGACTACCACCACACTGCCATTCTTTTTTACCTTCTCAGGGGGGAAAGCAGCATTTTGAGTTTTGGAAACAAGGGCTCGTGTTCACAAAGGAGGAAGCTTTGGCAACTTTTAAATCATCCTCTCCCCCACCTCATCAGGGAGGAATTAATGTAATTTGGCCATCCCTCAAAGCCCCATGAACAACATGCTGAAATGCAGAATGACCTGGACTTCAGACTGTTCAGAATGAAATCATCCACACAAACGCCACAATATTTGGCCAACTTATTTGTTTAAGGCTCAGAAGGTCAGAGCTTAGCTGAGTGACTTGTCCATTAATCAAACTACAATAAAATTTAAATGCAATGGCATGAAATCACTTCTTTTCAAAACGAGAGGTCTGCTCCTTACCAACATCCCACAAGAGCAGCTACCAATCACTTTGCAGCGGGACACATCAGGGTTAAGTTTCACATTCAAGATTTTATTTGTAATACAAACACACATACCTGTGCTCAGAATGCCCCCTTTTATTTGAACTCTCTGTTCCGTTTTTTTAAAAAAATGACTGCAGAACATTCTTTTCCCAGCTGACAGTTAGAAAGTAGAATTTAAAATCATGGGAAGTGTTTTCAGTAACCTGTCAAAAAAATGGCATGGGGCTGCTGAAGTTTTCTGCCAAGGAGAGATGCTTTTCACAGGTCAAACATTCTTCATACAATCAAGGTACTGTGAGTGATTTAAAAGATGGCATTTAGAGAGGATGATTTGGACGTGTGCGAGTGGGTGTGGAATCTATTTTTCTGAAGAGTTCCATAATGAAGAGGGCTGAAAAGACAGAAACTGATTCTCAGGGCAGGGTCCTGCTAACACAATTATTCTTCCCTGATCCTTCCCTGCCAGGTTTCTAACATTTTTTTTTTGTTTTTAATTTTTAAAAAAGCTCATTTTTTTGAAAACAAAACCTGTTTGCCAGCTACTTGGAAGATTTCAGGAAATGCAGCAGTTATCATTTCAGGTGTGGGATTAAGATCCAGCCTTAACCACTTTACGTTTTGTCTTACCAGAGGGGAGCGGGGACAGGGAACCACGCATAAAACAATACTCAAATAATGCAAACTATTTCTGCATGCTACTTATCTTAAAGCAGCAAAAGTGAGAATGAATTTGAGGAGGTATGCCTGTTTTGCCTCCCTCAACAATAACCAAATAAATACTAGTAATTTTAAGTACTGATAGGCAAGCACATTCACACATCTGAATTTCAACCTGCATTTCCGTTTTTCTGTAGCCAAACAATCGGTTATTTTCATCTCATTGCAAGCAGAAATTAAAACTAAATGTTAGTGACAACTCTGGTAGGAACTGAAAGGCATTAAAAACAGGCTGGTGAGGAGTAAATTTCCCTGGATTGCTTTGCATGTTTTAATAAAATCCCAGCAATAAGATCCTTCTCAATTTTCTCTTCCTTTCCTCCTCTTCCCTCCCGCAAGAAGACTTTCCAAACTGCTGCATAGGTAACATGCTGGCTCAATTAATTAAACGCAAAACCTCTTTGCAGGTAGCTGCTTAAAGCATTCTTGGCTGTCAATGGTAAAACCCGTGTGCATCGTAGTATCAAAATATTTTACACTCATTCTCATTTTAGAGTCTGACTCTCCACCCTGCCCCAGTTCATTAAGAGGAAAAAAAGAAACCTGTTTGCTCTGCCGTCAGAAGACAGGTTTTTGCAAATCAAAGCCATGTTAGCCAGTTTACGAGGGGGCTGGTTGGTGTGTGTTTCCTACCAAAAAGAAAGGAGAGGAGAAGGGATTTCTAAAGCTCTGCCCAGTATTTTATTGACAAGAGTTTGACCTTTCTGGGAAGGGAAGGAGCACCACCCCGTTGGCGTGGCTAGTGGAATTCAACAAATTCTTCTAGTGTCCTGGGGATCTGGTTGTGGTAGCTGATGTGATAAACCCGCACAGCTCGGGCAGCCAGGCACTTCAGACTCAGTTTCATCTGAGTCTTCAGGAGGATTTCCGACACGCCGGTGGTACTTTTGTCGAGAGGGGTCTTCTTCTGCTTGTTCGTCATGTCCGTATGAGCGCCGGCCTCGACCAAGCTAATGATGATGGAGTGCAAGGTCAAGAAGTCACTAATGGGCCTGTTATACTGGACTATGACGTGCAGCGGCGTGTTCCCTTCGTTGTCCACAGCGTTGACGTCAGCGCCACAGTCCAAGAGGAGCTTGGTGACCAGTGCATTGGGGAAGCTGCAGACGTCGTTGGTGTGGAAGTCGTCCACCGGCGTGCCAGAGTTGACAGCGTGGTGCAGCAAGCCAGAGCCGTCTCGCGTCCTGGGATCCAGGTGGATCAAGTTGTAAATCTGCTTGTTGATCCGCGACTGCTCCTCATCCCTGCACTGCGTCTTGGTGGAGATGCACACCAAATACAGGAAGGTGAAGATGTTGCATTCGTAGTTGTCCATGGCTGTGTGGAGCTCAGCATCCTGAGAGCTTTTGACTCGGGCCATCCCTTGCTCTATCTCCAAGACGCTGCACCTCAAGACGCTCTCAATATCCTTGGCTTTCACTGGCTCGTTCAAGTGTATCATCTGAGAGAAGACTTGAGCAAACCGGAGGAGGTCCTTGTGGGTATTCCTATTGCCTTTCTGCCGCAAGCGCAAGGCGTGAAGCCAGAGCTTGATGCACTGCTCAAACTGCATGTTATCTGCGTAAACAGCACCGCGGTAAATGATGGGGTGCGAGACATCGATGTTGTCGGAGCCAAGAATTCGTTCTCGGACGATGAGGCCCTCCATGTGGAGAGCGTCCCGGTCCTGCCGAATGGATTCCAGCTCTTGAGGAGTCCGGCACTCTGTCCGGCTGCCATAGGCTTCTATCTGAGGCAGGACCTCCTTCTCTATAATGTTCTCGCTATCTCTGTACCGCTCCAGCATGGCTAAATACAAATAGTGATAGGTCTTCATTATATCGTAGTTTTCTCGGTCGTTAGCAAACGAGGCACCCAAGAGCTCCAGAGCTTCTATCCGGCTCTTGCGGTTGCAGTCGGCGTGCGCCAGCAGCAGCTCGACAACGTCGGCCTTGCAGCTCTCGGCAGCCACTTTCAGAGGTGTCATTCCATGGCCGTTCACCATCATGGCAGATTTCCACTTCACCAACTCGCGGACGATCTCCAGGTGACCAGCCTCCGCCGCAAAGTGCAATGCTGTCGCGCCACAGTGTGCTTTGGCATTGGGGTCCGCATGCTGCTCTAAAAGGTAGCGCACCACGTCCACATGGCCCTTGTAAGCAGCGATCATAAGGCAAGTGTTGTCATACTTGTTGGCGATGCTGATGTTGGCATTGTTCTCCACGAGGTACTTCACAATGTCAAGCCGGCCGTCAAAGCATGCAGCGCGAAGCGGAGTAGAGTTGGTCACGGTTGTGTGGTTGACGTTGGCTCCGTGGCTCACCAAGAGCTTGACGACTTCAAAGTGGCCAGCCCCAGCTGCACACCACAGGGCCGTGGCGCCATCGATGACATAACTATGGAAAGAAAGAGACCGAATGTTAAAATTGGTGCAATTAAAAAAAAAATCTTCAAAATAATATCCTATAAAACAGTCTAGAGTCAGTGAGCGGAAGAATTTCAGAATGATAGGGAATGCAAGGGCTAGGTTCACAATGGGTGGCTGGGTGTGGGCAGAAGAGTTGGACAAGTACACGTAATGAAATTTCTAATTTGGAGGAGAGCACATCTTCTAGCAAAGGGGGCATGATTTTCCAAAACATGTATAGAATCCAATCTGTAACCGAGGCAGGATTCATCTCAACCCTGCAGTTGATGGCAACCAATCCTCGAGCTTTCTAACAGCTACAGGGAGGACTTAGACCAAAATAATGAATATAGGTTTTTCCAAAAAAAAACACCTAATGAGGTGGTATTTGCATTCAGCAGCCATACTAAAGAGAACACAGAGTGTTTGCCATCCTGGATACACCTAGTAGTAAAAGTTTGTCACAGGTATCCAAATACTTTGGGATAACCCTCATGACACTTGGACAAATGTGATTTCAGATATTAGTAAAGAGAAGGCAAAAGGAGTTACCAAACATTCAGTTGCAGAAATGGGGCAGTGATAACATCTTTTGGCCTTGGGACTGCACTGCCTACCCCAGGAGAAAGCATTAAGCAATTTTTCAAACTGTTTTAACCTGTCAGTTGCATCTCACCATGCCTGAATAAAGAACCCCAGGCCAAAAGACTTTTCAGACAAATGTGTTTAAATCAATTACAGCTTTTATATTTAGAGGGAGCTTCTTGTCAGAACATGCTGGGACAACAAAGAAGCAATTGGTTTTAAAGGCAGTTCAAAGGAAAGAAGGAAGTCTTACTGCAGAACACGCAAAATAATTCTGAGGCTGGGAAACAGAGGATTTTTACAACAGCTATGGCTTCCTTGGATGTTTGTTGTTGCTGTTGCTTTGACTCCTATGCAGGCAGGGACAGGGATATTTTTTACCACCCATTTGTTTACCATCTCCTACGTTGCACGTCAGTGTCAAGCACTGTCAGTTGTTTTCAAAAGGGAGGTTCTGGAGTTCTCCCTAGTGACTCAAACAGTGGCCTAGCCTCTTCAAACTATCTAAGATCAACAAGTGACTAACACAGAATCTCAGGAGGCTTACATTGTAGTGTAATCTAGAATGAGGTACTCCAGCAAAACTCAATTAGGAGGGAACTTATCCACAAAAGTCTAATTCATATAACTGGAATGGCAGCAGAATAAGTAAGCTGTCGAAAGTAGCTGTCCTTCTCCCCCATCCCAAATCTGATGATGAGTAGTCCCATATGACAACCCCCAGAGTTGGCTTTCTGTCTTCAAAAGAAATATTCTCAGCTGTTTAATTATCTCCAAAAGAAAACATTTCTGTATAGTTTTAGAGCTATGCTGGGATTACTATCCTGTCAACTTCAGCAGAAACTGAAACACAATCATAATACCTAGTCCATTTCAACAGGAGCAACGGACAGCTAGGAGGTGTGGCTGCAGAGACAAGTTTGGTACAGCCTCTGCTCCCCTCTCTGATCTCTGATGGCGTGTCCCAGCAACCTCCTCAGCGATGTCACAGAAAGAAATTATCAAGTGCCTTTGGCAAAAGCTAAAGCACCCCATTACCAGGTAGATAGGCATATGGGAAATGTTGATCCTTACATGTTTAAATGCCCTGTGCTTGCCCTTTGGCTCAAGAGCCTTAGGGATGAATAAGAACTACTTCCAAAAGTTTGAATTCTAATATACATCTTAAGACCCCAACTGGCATTACTGTCACGCCTTGGAAGACATATGGAGCTGAAATGTATCTGAAATCTTTCATGTGAGGCCTTTGAACCACTTTTTAAATATATTCCTGATTTTACCTTGGCTCTTTGTCAATAGCTCCCTCCAAGCATTACTCACATGGAGGCTCTGTGTGTTAAGTCACCTTCTGATAACAGGACAGTGGTGGGATCCCTCTGCCTCTTAACAGGTGAAGCATCCCTCGTGTAAGTAACATATGAAGGGGGTCAATGTATCCAAGCAATGTCCCTGTACTTATAGGGAATTAGATTTAACCAGGACTTTGAACAATTCCATGAGCTGCATCTTTTCCAATAGGCTAGATAACTCATGCCACTCATTTTTCACTGTTCCTCACACTGTTATCTACAAACCACTGCCGCATGTAGGAGAGAAAGGAAGAGTTCCTAGTCCTCACAACTGCAATACGATGGCAAAAATTAGAAAGAACCAGGCGCTGGCTAGAGATTGGCAGGAGAGAACATATCTGTGTGCACCTTCTCCTGAAGAATCATCTGGAATTAGTTGGTAAAGTCATCTCAAAAGTGTTGGTCTATACAGGTACCTTTCTGCATTGTGCCTGTTCTTTATTTACGGTCCAGCACAGGTAGGGTTACGTAAATTGATCCAGGGGAAGGTCTTGCCTCACAGCAGGCAGCTTTCGGCTCCTTCCACTTTTATGATTCTTGGAAGATCATTTATAGAAACAGCATATGCCAATCAAATGAAGGCATGATGTAACCTACTATATTCCATTGACTGAAAGGAAGCACCACAACAGCCAGGCTGAATTTATCAATCCACAGGACCATCCCATCTTCTGTCAAGAAAGAAGCCCAAGGCCTCCTCTGTGACCACGTGCCACACATACGTACATACCCATCAAAACGGACCGTGCCAGTCTGCTGGGTCTGCACACGGTAGTGCTCCAGGAGCAGGCGCACAACTTTGGCGTGTCCATTGCGGGCAGCAATGATGAGAGGTGTCGACCGCTGCCCACCTTGGTGGGTGACGTAGCCCAGCAAATAGCGGATGTCGCTCTCCGAGCGGTTCAGGAGCAGGGCTGCCAAGGTCAGCACCCGCCCCTCGCTGGCCGCCTTGTAGACGTAGCCCGCCAGGCTCTCCATGGCTGCTTGCTCCTCCCGGGACCGCCAACGCCAGCCGCCAACCTCCCCAGCCGGCGCCAGGGCCAAGCCGGGATCTTCCTCCTCCGCCTCCTCCGCCTCCGTGGCTCCGCAGTGGGGAGGTGCATGCGGGCCGACCCCCGTGGGGTCAAGGGGGGCACCGGGGCTTCTCGTCGTCCTGCCGTTCCCCGCCACCACCGCACACGGTTCAGGCCAGCTGTGCCACCCCCAAGCGTCTGCCTTTGGGAGCCCCAGGCCCCATGCTCACTGGGGGTTGGGGCAGGCTCAGCCGACCCCTCCTGCTCAAAAGGGACCCTGGCTGTGGGGCTCTGCCTGGGTCCGCACGCACAGCAGTTCCAGGCGAGGCTGGAGCCCGCAGCCCCTGCCTCAGGCGGCGGCCGCCCGCGGAAGCCCAAACCCAAACCCGGGGAGCGGGGCAGACGAAGGCCCCGGGGTGCCAATTCCCTCAGCCGGGCTCCCCGGAAGGCCTCGGCGAAGTGCCCGGGAAGCTGGACTGGAGGCCTCACGGTGCGGCGGCGGCTCCCCGGAAGGCTCGCCAAGCGCCGGTCTTGGCGGCGACGGAGGATGGCAGCGGGAGAGGGAGCGCAGGCGGCTACGGGCCGCCGCAGGTGCCCTTCGCGGCCGCCGGACCGGCTTTCGCTTCCCTCCTTCCCTCCCTCCTTCCCTGAGCCTCGGCTCCCGGAAGCGGAAATGGACATGGCCGGTCCCCCTGGAATCGGAGCCGGACTGGGGAACCTCCGCCCGGAGGAGAAATGTTCCGTAGCCAAGAAGGGCCGCCGACAGATAGCTGGGCTAAGAGGGAGGAAGAAAGAGGGAGGAAGAGACGGAGGAGGGGAAAGGGAGGAGGGGGAAAGGAAGCCACGTGGATGGCTCTGGCCCTTCTCTCCTCTCTTCTTCGAGCCACGTTTCCGGAAGGGCCAGCCAGAGCTCGACTGTTTCCACATTTCTGCCAGGAGAATCCCAGTTTTGGTTTTGGTTTTGGGGAGGAAAACAAACAAGGTGCCCAAAGGACCCCCTTTGGAGCCGCGCTGCGTTTGCCCCAGTGGACGGTTCTAGTCGAGAAAGCCGAATTGCTGAGTGTTCATTTGAAAAGGATGTGGTGGAAAAGGGCAAACAAAATGACCAAGCGGGTGGGGCGACTTCTCTATGAAGAAAGGTTGCAGCATTTCGGACTTTTCAATTTAGAGAAAAGGCAAGCAAGAGGCGACATGATCGACGTTTATAAATCATGCGTGGCGTAGAGAAAGTGGAGAGAAAGAAGCTTTTCTCCCGCTCTCACAACAGAAGAATTCATGGACATCCAATGAAGCTGAATGTTGGAAGATTCAGGACAGATAGAAGAAAATAAGCCTGGGCAGCAAAACCAACAAAGAATCTTGTAGCGTTTTATATAGACTAAGACTACATGTATCTGATGAGGTGAGCTGTTGTCTATGAAAGCTGCTGCTGCAATAAACCTATTACAGTACTATATTATTCATGTTCTCTTTATGCAAAGATCCAGGATAAGTGCCCTCCCAGGCTGACTGGTTTTTGTATATTTTTTATTTTATTTTTGGAAACATATACAACAGGAAAGCAAGATACAAGCATATTGAGATATATGTGCCGAAAATGACATAAAAAAACAAATATGAACCAGCTAAACCCAGCATTCTGCTGAGAGCAATCTGTTAGCTTAGGTTACAGAAGGTCCAATAAGCATGAGATTAAACTCTGTTTTTCGTATTTGCAGGGATGCCTGCAGGTTTTGACAGGAATCACACAATGATGGAATACAAAAGCCAAGGACAAGGAAGGCTTGTAACACACGACTTAACCAAAGATTGACTGGGGGCGGGGCGCTAAGAATTCCAAAGCCTAACAATGTGGAGGAGAGGTTACATGATGTTCATTTGAGTATGTAGTAAAATGAAACCAGCTACCAGTAACTTTATTTTTGTTGCCCTCCCAGCACTCTGAAGTTTTTGTGCAAATTTTTCCACTAATGCCAGGCACTACACCTTGTTACTTATGGAGAGAATGCTTGCTTTCATTGCATGCAAAAGGTAGCTCCGGGTACAATCCCCAACGTCTCCAGACAGGGCTGGGACAGAACCCTGCTTGAAAGCCTGGAAAGCTACTGCCTTTGCCAACATCTGCTGGGGCAGCAATGTGAGTTGTAGTGTACGGACAATATTGAGCCAGATGAATCAGTGGTTTGACTAGAATGCAGCTTCCTCTCTTCCTCGGTTCTGTAAACTGAGGAATGAACACTCAGAAATTCGGCTTCCTCAACTAGAACCATCCATTGGTGTAAACATTATTGTAAAGCTTGCCTTTTCTCTGTAAACCCCTCCTTTGGGCTTGCTTCCATCCAGTCAGCAGACACACCCAGAGCAGTGACTCCCACAAAAACACAGCAGGGGGAGAGGGCTTCTCCAAGGGCAAGTCACACTTACTCTTTCAAACACTTAAAACCATTTTGTCTCTCATTTTAAACCATATGCTACTGCAGTCAGAAGTCTAAAAGACATTTGTCTTAAAGGTTTGAAGGTGCCAGAAAAGATTTAGAAGTCAGAATAAGAGGGAAAATGGCAGGTGAATGCTGGAATGGTCCTTGCTGGCTTTATGAGACCACCACAGTATAAACAAACACCTGCACCTCTTTGCACCTGCCAAATGTAGTGGGAACAGGTTTGATATCCCCTTGAACAGGCAGTTGTGTTCCTTCTGCAGACACTGGCTAGTGACATTTCTCCTCTTCCTCCTCTCTTAGAAACATAGGAAGCTGCCTTATACAGAGTCAAACAATGAATCCATCTAGCTCAGTACTGTCAACACTCACTGGCAATGACTCCCCAAGTTTTGGCCAAGGGACTCTCCAGCCCCATCTAACAATGCCGGGGATTGAACCCAGGACCTTCTGCATGCAAAACCGATGCTTTGCCACTGCACAAGAGCCCTCCCTCCCGCTTTCTTGTTGCAGACACAGGTCTCTGTTTCCTGAGGCTTTCAGGGGGACCCACCTATTGTCACGAACTAGTCATTTGCTGGAGCCAGCTGACACGGTCAGTAATGCGATCTTGCTAATTGGACCCAGGGCCTGTTTGGTGCAATTGTTTTGCCATGGTTTCAGTAACAACAAAATTAATAGTTAATTGGAAGTCATGCAACAGGAGCCGCTGCCAGCTGTGGAAACTGCGTAAGGGCAATGCCATGCATTATGCATGGGAGGAATGGCCTGGTTGTGCCATGTGGTTTTTTGGATGGGGTGCACATGAAAGAGGTGGCAGCAGGAGGAAGGGATGCTGAGCACAAGTCGCCCTCCTGAAACACAGCATTTGTGTATATTCTCCTACTCCGTTCCTCTGGCCTCTGGCTGCGTACACAATCCTGTTTAGTACACACAGTGCAAACTATGGAACTCGCTCCTGCAGGAGGCAGTCATGGCCACGAACTTGGATGGCTTTAAAAAATGTTTGGACAAATTCATAGAGGATAAGGTCATCAGTAAGGGACACAGGTGGCGCTGTGGGTAAAAGCCTCAGCGCCTAGGGCTTGCCGATCGAAAGGTCAGCGGTTCGAATCCCCACGGCGGGGTGCGCTCCCGTTGCTCGGTCCCAGCGCCTGCCAACCTAGCAGTTCGAAAGCACCCCCGGGTGCAATTAGATAAATAGGGACCGCTTACTAGCGGGAAAGTAAACGGCGTTTCCGTGTGCGGCTCTGGCTCGCCAGAGCAGCGATGTCACGCTGGCCATGTGACCCGGAAGTGTCTCCGGACAGCGCTGGCCCCCGGCCTCTTAAGTGAGATGGGCGCACAACCCTAGAGTCTGGCAAGACTGGCCCGTATGGGCAGGGGTACCTTTACCTTTACCTTTAAGGTCATCAGTGGCTACCAACCACGATGGCTACGCTTTGCCTCACCCTTCAGAGAGAGTAATGCTTTTGAAAACCAGATGCAGGAACCTGCAGGTGGGGAGAGTGTTGTTGTGCTCGAGTCCCGCTTGCAGGTTTCCCACAGCCATCTCGTTGGCTACTGTGAGAACAGGATGCTGGACTAGATCAGCCATTGGCTTGATCCATCAGGCTCTTATGTTCTCCGTGCCCAGTGTTGCTTTGGAAAGTGGTGTTCACATGGCATTAACCACACCCCATATCTGTGTTATGAGCTATACTATCCTGCATCTATCCTGTTGCTTCTTACGAAATACTGCACTTGGATAATAATAATAATAATAATAATAAATTTTATTTATATCCTGCCCTCCCCAGCCGAAGCCGGGCTCAGGGCGGCTAACAACACTAAAACAGTACAACATTATAAATACATTCTAAAAATTAATTAAAATACAAATTGATGGCAACCATAGACTAAAGCTTTGTAGAGATTGCGAAAGGAGGGAGTCAGGCTGCGCCCTGACCAAAGGCCTGGTGGAACAGCTCTGTCTTACAGGCCCTGCGAAAAGATGTCAAGTCCTGCAGGGCCCTTGTCTCTTGCGACAGGGCGTTCCACCAGGTTGGAGCCGCAGCCGAAAAAGCTCTGGCTCTAGTTGAGGCCAGCCTAACCTCTCTGTGGCCTGGGACCTTCAAGATGTTTTTATTTGAAGACCGTAAGTTCCTCTGTAGGGCATACCAGGAGAGGCGGTCCCGTAGGTACGAGGGTCCTAGGCCGTATAGGGCTTTGAAGGTTAAAACCAGCACCTTAAACCTGATCCTGTACTCCACCGGGAGCCAGTGCAGCTGGTATAGCACCGGATGAATGTGATCTCGCAGCGAAGACCCCGTAAGGAGTCTCGCTGCGGCATTCTGCACCCGCTGGAGTTTCTGGGTCAGTCTCAAGGGCAGCCCCACGTAGAGCGAGTTACAATAATCCAGTCTGGAGGTGACCGTCGCGTGGATCACAGTGGCTAGGTCAGGGCGAGAGAGGTAAGGAGCCAACTGCTTAGCCTGGCGGAGATGAAAAAATGCCGCCTTTGTTATAGCTGCAATCTGCGCCTCCATGGAGAGGGAGGTATCGAAGATTACACCCAAACTCTTAACGGACGGTGCTGGCATTAATTGCACCCCCGCAAGAGAAGGGAGTTGCCCCCTCAATCTCATATCGTCCCGTTCCAGCCAGAGGACCTCTGTCTTCGAAGGATTTAACTTCAACCGGCTCCCACGTAACCATCCAGCCACAGCTTCCAAGCATCTGATCAGTGTGTCTGGGGCCGAGTCAGGATGGCCATCCATCAACAGATAGAGTTGGGTGTCATCAGCATACTGATGGCAGCCCAGCCCAAAACTCCGGACAAGCTGGGCAAGGGGGCGCATAAAGATGTTAAAAAGCATCGGGGAGAGAATTGCACCCTGAGGCACTCCACACACCAAGGAGTGGCGGGATGACAATTCCCCCCCAAGCGCCACCCTCTGTCCCCGACCAGAGAGAAACGAGCGCAGCCATTGAAGGGCTGTGCCCTGGATCCCCACGTCGGCAAGGCGGTGGTCCAGGAGTTCGTGATCGACCATGTCGAAGGCTGCTGACAGGTCTAGAAGAATCAGCAGCCCCGACCCGCCTCGATCCAGCTGCCTACGGAGATCATCTGTTAAGGCGACCAGAGCCGTCTCGGTCCCATGACCAGCGCGGAAGCCGGGCTGGAATGGATCCAGAGCCGATGTTTCATCCAGAAACCTACCAAGCTGTTCCGCAACCGCTCTCTCAATCACCTTACCCAGGAATGGAAGATTCGAAACCGGGCGGTAATTGGATAGATCTAAGGGATCTAATGATGTTTTCTTTAAAAGCGGGCGCACCACTGCCTCCTTCAGTTCCCCTGGGAATGTCCCGGTGCCAAGGGACAAATTGATGATATCCCCCAGGGGGGCCCGCACCTCGTCTGGACACGCTCTAATCAGCCAGGACGGGCACGGGTCGAGAGGACAAGTGGTGGGCTTTCCAGCTTGGAGGAGTCTGTCCACATCGGCTGGGGATATCCGGTCAAAGTGGTCCAATACTGGACCCGAGGACAGTCGAGGGGCCTCCAGTTCCTTTATTGTATCGAAATTGGCGGGGAGGTCATGGCGGAGCAACAGGACCTTCTCCGCAAAAAAGCTCGCAAATGCCTCACAGCTGTGTATCAATTTGTGTGTTAAATTTGGCTGTCCTTCGAGGGACGTTAAAGACCGAATTATACTAAATAATTGCGCCGGGTGAGAGCTGGCGGATGCAATGGAGGCTGAGAAGTAGGACTTCTTAGCGGCCTTCATTGCCATCTCATAGGTTTTCATAAAAACCCTATAAGATGTTCTTGAAGCTCCGTCACGGGCACCCCGCCATACTCGCTCTAGCCGTCTGAGGTCCCGCTTCATTTTCCGGAGCTCCTCGGTAAACCAGGGAGCCCGGTTTCTGCGGGGTCGCAGAGGGCGCTTGTGTTTCCCCGCAAACCATCTTGGATCTAAATTGCAAAAAAAGAATGACCTCGCTGCATTATATGCCAGCAGTGTGTGCATAGCCCTCCGCTCCCTTATCTTCCCCTAAGGGAAGGGAGGCCCTCCGCTCCCTTATCTTCCCCTAATCTCCCAGGGTGGATAATCTGATGGTGATTATCCCGAGAGGCATCAAATCCATCACTCAAAGGTTCAGCCCGGCATGCAGAGACCTTGTGTCACAGATGCAGGGCACAGACTCAAAAGATTTCCACGCTTTTGATCTACGTACTGCGAATACAGCTTCTCTCTGCCAGAAATGTTGCTTTGGGTCATAGGACTGACTGCTCCAATTAGAATGAAATCCCTTTAAGTAATAGAATCGTACAGTTGGCGGGGGCCATGAGAGTCATCTAGTCCAACCCCCTGGAAGGCCTTATTGTGTTGTGAGGGATGACCCTACCATTAGGCAAAGCGAGGCAGCATTTTGTTTGATTGTTGCAACCTGCCTTGGGATCATGATTTCATGATGGGCGGGCTAGAAATTGGAGCAACAGATGCAACTGTGGCTACATGCCACTTAGCAAAAGTCAGAAGCTTCTACTCCCCCCCCCCCCCGCATCTCTCTCCATCCTCCATTCAGAGAAGCAAAAGGCATTTTAAAGGACACCAGCCAGACAAAAGGAATGGGTGGAACAGTTAGCGAGGGGGTGGCCCCAAAACCCACATTCACCCCACTCTGCCTTTAGTTCTCCACACTTTTTGTAGAGGGAAGTTTGAAGAGTCTTGGTGGGCCTGGGCTAAGATGTTGCCAACCTTATTTTCCTAGCAGTGCTCACATGCCATTAATAGTTGCACAGAAATATACAGTAACCAGACCTTTTCTCACACCTGCTCTCCATACCAGCAAATGCTTCACTGCTGAAATGGAGCAAGGTGCCATTTAAATAGGGTTGCCATATATCAGAAAGTGAAAATCCAGACACTAATGCGGAGCCCTTTTTGGCAGATTTGTCGAGTGAGTTAGTCCGTTCGTTTGTTCGGCCAAAGTAGTTGAGCCAAAAATCTAATTTAAAAAATAAAGTTTTGGAGCTATTTTTAAAGAAGTTCGCCCAAATCTACACTTCCAACATGGGTTGCCATACGTCCGGACATTTCAGCGATTTCCACCCCAATATTGTTTCCGACGGCCGAATCCCAGCTATGTCCAGGAAATTCCGGACGTATGGCAACCCTAATTTAAATTGAATCCAAGAAAGCATGAGCCATCCTGGATCGGACTGAAAGTCCATCTACTTGGAGCTCCCGTTGCCAGCAGTGGTTGACCAGATGCATCCAGGAATCCCGTAGGCAGGGCAATTATATTAAAATATTTCCAAGTTTGCATGTTAATATATTGTAGCAGAATTGACTGCTCCCTCCTATAAAAGAATTAATTGATTGAAGTCTGCCAAGGCTTTCATGCACAAAAAAAGCACATCAGCACTGTGTAATCATCAAAGTATTTACAAGGTTTCTGCTCTGGACATCTGGCAATGGTGGTTCCAAACCCCTCTGGATGGGACAGGACAATAGGAACAAGGCAATCTCCCAGATTTATCCTTTTAACTCCTAAAGCCACCTTTGCCAAGCAGGTACCCTCCAGGTACTGCTGAACTACAAACCACAGTTCCTAGGATTGTTTAGGGAAAGCCATGAATATTTTTATCCTCCAAATCTTTTTATTGTTTTCACTTATTTATGCAAGAAGCAACAATCAATATTCAACAATCCATCCCACCCTACACAGAAGCACCAGATGTCCATTTACGTAATTACATTTAACTTTTTAAATCATTTCAGTTTTTAAAGAAAGGTATCATTCCGCAAGTTGCCATGTGTCCTTGGAGGCCAATAATCATGCTCTACCAATGTTGCATATGCAGTAAAACTGTTCCAGGCAGATTGAAAAGTAGCCATTTTCCTGTCTGTTCGACTCTTTTGGACGTTGACGGTCCTTTTGTCCCTTACATCCTAGAGCTGTGAGATCCCGATCTCAAACAGGTCTGCGTTTAGAGTCTTCCAATACCCTGCAATTATAAGCAGTGCAGAAACCGCCAGGTGAGTAACGAGATCCTTGTGGGAAAGTGGCTGGGCAGTTTCTGAATAACAAAATAATAACAGGATGACAAAAATGCTAGGATCCAAGGGGACAGCTTGTGCTGTGATAAGGCCCGCTTTTTAAAGCGAATCTTAATGTAGCATAAGAGTGCTTTTAAACGTCTGGCGTGGTTGTAACCGATCTATCCAGCGGTTGCCAAGGACTCCAACTCCCAACAGCCTCCTCGCACAGCTAATGCTGAGGGATGATGGGAGTTGGAGTCCAGCCACCCCTGGCGGGCAACGAGCAGACCTAGAGCATGTGCAGAGTTCCTTTCCGCCTCCTGGCTTTCCCGCGCCTCTCCCGTGCGTAAAGGCGCGCGGCCACTGCTGCTGGTGATGGCGGCGGCCGGGCGCTGCTGAGCCTCGGAAGAGGCGGGCCGGCCCTGCCCCTGCCGCTTGGCCCCGCCCCGCCTCGCCCCCTCCCCGCCCTCCTCCTTTCCCGAGCGAGCATGGAGAGCCGCGGCGGAGAGGAAGGCTCCCGAGCTCGGGGGCGCCCGCAGGAGAGGCGCTAGGCCAGGCAGCCCCAGCGTCCTCCCCATGTCGGGCGTGCGGAGGCGGCAGGGGGCCGGGGGGGTCTCGTCGTCGGGCAGGTGAGTCGCCCCTCGGAAAAGGGGAGATGCTCCCAATCCAGCACCCTGCAAGCCCCTCCGCCCCTGGGTGCTGCCCGTTGGTCCAGCCGCTCAGGAGGCTGCTTGGGCTGCAGCGCAGCCCTATGGCTTTGCAAGCGTGGGGAGACGTAGGTCTCTGCCCCGAAGGCGCTGCAGAGCTTCTCTGTTGCGCCGGGCAGAGATTGAGGAGGGCGCCTCGGGAAGCCGCACGCGCAGGGGCAGGCAGGACAGAGAGAGTGGAGCCTCGCAGGCAGGAGGTCACTTGCACCAAAGTGCGGCCAGAATCAGGGCCTTTTGATCAGGGACCCTCCCCACATTTCCACAATATCCTATCATTGCTTGTGGTTTTGACGGTGTTTCGCAACGCCGACTTCTTTGCATGGAATCGTTTTAGGTGCGGGCGGATTTCCCCCGCCCACCCCACATTTTGCAAGGCTGGTTCTTATCTGTGGTGAAATCCTTACAGTACTTTGAAAAAAAGGATTTCCCTGAGCAGGCAGGTCTCGTCCCCTCGCGGCGGAATATATCGTGCAAAGCAAAGTAGCAGGAATTAATGAAAGGCCTCTTATAAGCCCCGAGGATCAACGACTTTCCTCGCTGATTTTTTTTTTTTTTTTAATACTGGATGGATTTAATCCGTGTTCTGAGACAGAATCTCATGCTTTTCCAAGAATAAATTTCTGCAGCCCACTTGCCATGCTGTAGCAGAGTTTCCAAAGCGAAACATTTTTGTCTTGGTGCTGATGTATATTTTAACTTTGTTTTATTATGAAAAATTGTGGTTGTTTAATTTGTTTGTGAACCACCTTGGTAATTCCTGTTCGGAATGAAAGCTGGTACATAAATTCCTTGAATTGACTAATAAATTGGTATGCATTTTTGAAAGCCTTCCACCAACACCAGCACCCTGAAAAATTCTTTATTTCCAGTCTGATGGAAGAAACTGCATCATACCACGTTTTTTAAAAACCAGCTGAAGTTCTATAGAAGACTTCAGTCCTCTGAGGGTAGTATCTGGGACCTTCTCTATGGAGTTCAAATTTAAACTAGATCCAGCTCTAGAATTCCAGAACCATCCCAAATACCTAGTTAATGAATCTGTTGGGTGTCTCTCTCTCACTTGTTATATTTTAATTCAATTCTTCATTCTAGACAATTTGTGTACTGCTTAATTACAATCTTATCTGAGCGCATCTGTGTCTAAATAAATGACAAGAAGGCTTTTATGGGCAAAGGGGCTACTTCAAAGCAGACTTCCCCAATCTAGTTTTAAGTGGCCCCCACCAACATTTTGGGGCTTCCATCAGGCCCAGCCAGCACAGCTTTATTGTAGTCCAAAACATCTGGAGGGCAGCAGTTTGGGAAAGGTTGCGTCTAAGCCCAGAAAGCCCCTCTCTTTTGTCTCCCCATAAAACATGCATTAAAGCTGACTTTCCACAGTAGGAGGCAGCAGTGCTTCTGAATAAAACCATTTGTTGGGAACCATGGAAGCGAAGATGGCTTTTATGCTGGGGTCCTGCTTGTGGGCTTCCAACAGGCACTGTGAGAATAGGATCCTGGACTGAATGGGCCACTGAATGGGCCTGATCCAGCAGGGCTCTTATATGATGAGCTTCTTGAGACAAGAGACCTCTGATGGGGAGGGACAGCCACCTCAAGAGACATGAGTTTTGTGGCACTTTAAAGATAGAAGATGTTATGTACTGAGTTAAATAAGATCCAAATGCAGCAGTCTGATTGGTCCTAGAACAATAGGATCCAGAATGCAGCAGTCTGATTGGTCCTAGAACAATAGGATTCAGAATGCAGCAGTCTGATTGGTCCTAGAACAATACAGCAGTATGATTGGTCCGCAGGAGCCACCCAATCCAGCTCCAGGTGGAAGTGAATCCGCAACCTGATTGGCCTACAGGAGAATCCAGGAATTATCCAATCACGTGCGGCCCATTGTGTAAATAATGTATATAAAGCAGATATTTTGGGGGAACTTCCATTTCCTCACTACTATGAGCTGAATAAAGAGCATGAAATCCACACTCGACACGGAGTATATTTCAGAGGATGTCTCTCAGTGGCTGCTAACCCTGATCCTCCACCATCAGAGGCAGCGATGCTTCTGAATACCAGTTGCTGCAAACTGCAGGAGGGGAAAGTGCTCTTGTGCTCAGGTGCTGCTGGCAAACTTCCCACAGGCATCTTTTTGGCCCCTGAACAGGATGCTGGATGGGGCCCCTGTTGCAAGGCCCTTCTGACATTCTCAGTGTAGCTAAAGGCTTTTGTTGACGAGAGCCCACTAAATGCTCTGAATTCTTTGTCAGAGAAGAGCTGGTTTCACCCAGTAAACCTGGACATTGGGGTTAACTGGCAGAAATGGGGAGAACTTGAGTTAACCAAAAGTGGTCCAGCAGATCATAGAATCATAGAGTTGGAAGAGACCACAAGGGCCATCAAGTCCAACCCCCTGCCAAGCAGGAAACACCATCAGAGCACTCCTGACATATGGTTGTCAAGCCTCTGCTTAAAGACCTCCAAAGACGGAGACTCCACCACACTCCTTGGCAGCAAATTCCACTGTCGAACAGCTCTTACTGTCAGGAAGTTCTTCCTAATGTTTAGGTGGAACAGTTCCAGTTCTTGGTTCATGACCAGTTCCACTCTTGGTTGGCCAAGGTATAATTTTTTCCCCACCCACCACCCCGGTATTTTGACATAGCCCTACTGCAACTTTCACCAACATGCCTCCCTCCAGAAGTTTCTGAATCTAGCTTCCATCAGGCCCACATCAAGGCCAGTGGGATGATGGGGGTTGTAGTCCAAAACATCTGGAGGGTGCCAGCTTGGGGAAGGTTGCTCTGTTGCTTTGAGTACCACAGGTTAACCCTGTGTGGGTGTGAAAACTTCCTTTTGTTTACAGTTGTGTTTGTAAGTTGCATGTAACATTATTACTATTTGATGTATTTATAACCTACCTTTCTCCCAAGCTGGGATCCAAGGCAGCTTCCAACATTTAAAAACATTGTAAAATGCAAAATTATTTTTAAAAAACTCCTACCTAAAAAAATATCATTAAAATATATCAAAACACGCTTTAGAACCAGCAATTCAAGGACAATTTGCCCAGTGATCAGCATTGCCTGCTCCTCAGTTTCCAAAGGTCAGTCTGAACAGGAAGGTGGAAGGATGACAAAGGCTGGCAGAAGGATAACAAAGAAGGAACCAGTCTGACCTCTCTTGGGAGGGAATTCTGCAATATGGGGGCATCCACAGAAAAGTCACCCTCTCATGTGACCACCAACCTTGCCTCTGATGGTGATGGGACTGTGAGAAAGTGCTTATCTTAGCACCCAGGCAGATTCATGTAGGGAGGTATGAGATTTCAGGTAGCCTGGGCCCAAGTCATATAGGGCTTTATAGGTTCTAACAAGCACTTTGAATTGTGCCCAGAAAGTTGTTTTCGCAGTGGAGTAACCTGTTTCCTGTCACTGGTCTGAGTCAGCATTCTGGCCAGCTGAAGGTTCCAAACACTTTTTAAAGCTCTGTCTTTACTATTGAATAATTGTTCTCCTTGGCAGGCATGGAGTGGCTCAAGAGGAAGACGCCTGCAGGAACCCCCGGTTTCATTTCGACTTGTGGTTTTATTTCACTCTGCAGAACTGGGTGCTGGATTTTGGGCGCCCCATTGCCATGGTGAGTGCCACTGCATTTTCATTGCCATCTGGTGGCTGTTAAAAATGTGGGTTGTGGGCAGAAAGAGGTTGGTCACTCTATGTGACTGGGGGACAGGGGGCGACGACAAATTTTGGTTGCAGCGTTTGGAATTTCCCAGATCCAGGAACTGTCAGTTCCTCAGTTCCTCTCATGTTAAAAGATTTAGGACAGACAACAGAAAGTACACAGTGCCTTAGTTAAACTCTGGAATTCCATGTGATGCAGTGATGCACCCCTACTTGGCTGGCTTTAAAAGGAAATTAGACAAATTCACAAAGGTTGAGGTTACCAGTAGCTAGTAGCCATGATGGCTGTGCTCAGTTTCAAAGGCAGCATGCCTCTGAATGCCAACATCTGGGAATCACAAGTTGGGAGAGTGCTGTTGCAGCCAGGGACCTGCTTTGGGGCTTCCCTTTGAGGCATCTGTGAGAACAGCTGGATGAGATGGGCCACGCGCTTGATCCAGCTGCAGGGCTTTTCTTCCATCCATAAATTCCTGGGACAGCATTACCCAGGCAGCCTTCTCTTTGGAAGAGAGAATGCTAGAGATTTTGAAATACATGCTTTATTTACAAGTAGACTATACATGAAGGTAAGCTGTGTGTACTCCTGTTAAGCAGCAGATCTGATATTCCTTGGGAGAGAGAAGCTTCTCAAGGTGCCTTCAGTGCAGTGTCTCTACCAGTTCCCAATATGAATATAAGAAGAGGCCTGTTGGATTAGGCCAATGGCCCATCTAGTCCAGCATCTTGTTCTCACAGTAACCCAAGCACAAAGCACTCCCCTCCCCCCAGCCTTCATTACATGGGTACAAACTTCCGAAAAAGCTCTGTTAGCTGGCAGGAATGCAGGGGGCAATTGTAAGGGGTGGGGGTGTTCATCCTTCCTTGTGCCTGGAAATCCTCCCCCATTGCCCCTGCCCTTATGGGGCAACATGGGGTTAGGAACTGGTGTTTTCTTGATCATGGTTAGAATCTCAGGCTTGGACCTGGGAGACCAGGGTTCAAATTCCCACTTGGCCATGAAGCTCACTGGATGACCTTGGGCCAGTCACTGTCTCTCAGCCTAACCTACCTCATAGGGTTGTTGTGGGGATAAAATGGGAAGGGAACCAAGTATACCACCTTGATCTCCTGGGTGGAGTAGAAGCAGGATGTAAATTCAATGAATGAATGAATGAATGAATGAATGTGGTGGTCTCTTTTTCATTTACTGCAATCTCTGTTGCGCTTGGGTTTTGCTGCACAAAAGCAGGAAAGAAATGGCTTTTGTGGCCAGCCTTGACAAAAAGACCATATAACAATATAAAACTAAAAAAGAAGTCCACTGCACATTGTGGGCTGCCAGTGATGAAACTCATCCCTTCTTCCGTTTTCCATTCTTTCAGATCGTGCTTCCGTTGGAATGGTTTCCCCTGAACAAGCCAAGTGCTGGAGATTATTTTCACATGGCTTACAATGTCATAACGCCCTTTATTCTTCTGAAGGTAAATTTTTGACCTGTGTTCTTCTCTCATTTCTGCTGAGATCTGTTTGTGTGTTTTGGAAGGCTGAATAGCGGGAATAATGATCAGAGTGGAAAGTGAATTCTCTGAAACGATGGTGCTGAGAAGTAGTGCTGTTCCAAAAATTTTATCATGTTCACTTATTCGTGCTACCAGTTAATAAGAAAAAAAATTGCACCAGAGGAGATAAAATTTCAATGAAATTCTCATGGGTGGCATGCAGGGTTACTGTTGTGCTCACCTTACTCTTGAGATTGTTCATGAGAGTCTGTTCTTTCATTCTGCAAATCATCTTGCCAGCGGTCTACTTCACAGCTTTCTTAGGTGACCGCTCTCTGGTTAAAAGTTCAGGGGGAAACATCATAAAGTAACTCCTCCTGTGTAGCTTTTTCAGATTGGGAGGCTGCAGAAACATTTACTGGAGAGAGAAACACAAATGCCACCTCTCAATGGCATAGTAAGCTCAAATCCCCACACCTGTTGAAATTCTAAAGTGCCGTGTTAATGAGATAGAACTATGGAAGACTCTTGTGGCTAAGGAAGAAAACTTTTATGAAATCGGAGGACAGATTTTGGCACAGTGCTTCTTGGAACACACACTGATACAGTCAAAATGTCACTGTTAACATGGTAGAGCTTCATGATTGTGATGGATGTCATCAGGTAGTGCTGCTTGCATTTCACATCATCAGTTTAAAAAATGACAATAGCTCTCCAAGAAGCATGTTACTAATGGCAAATGTCAAGCTTGGAGTTGGCATCTCAGAGCCCAGCAAAGTAAACTCAGCCATGATAGCATTCACCAATGACAACCTTCCCCAAGCTTTTGATGTTGTTAGGCTCTGACTACCATAATCCCTAACCATTGGCCATGGTGGCCAGATCTTCTGGGTTTTGGGAGTTCAGAGCATCTGGAAGGCACCTGGTTTGGGAAAACTGGTCATGAAATATTAGACGGCATAACTGCAAATGCTATAAGTAAAGCAGCTTTTCTCTGGCAGAAAACTGGGGCTAAGCAATTAATAATACTTAGCATTTTTCTAGCATTTTTTTTTTTTTTGTGATCACATATGTGATCTTGCTGTAATCCCTACAGCAGCTATGCGATGCAGCCCAAATGATTCAGCAGAATAAGCTGTCGGAGCAACCCCCTTTTGAGTGTCTGTTCTCAGAGATAAAACATTCAGATAACAATTGTGTCAGAATAACCACATACAAAGGGTTTTGTTGAAATGCAAGCAGGTGGGTGACAATTGCTTGTGAGCTGAATAGATGCCCATTACAAGGTAAGTTTATATAGGTGTGTGTCTGTGTGTGTGTGTGTGTGTGTGTGTAAACACATTCGGGTCTTTGGAACTAGCGAGGATGTTTTCTGCAGTAGTTAGGTCAGTGGGAATGTTTAGGTTTCTGAACCATAGGAACTAGAATTACTCTTTTTCCCTGGCTTCAACTCTAACATAAATTAATTTGGGACCAGTCTCATCATTTCATTCTGCCTTATATGACTTAATGGCCGGCATTGCCTTTTAAATTTGATATGAAATTGCATTTCAAGAGCTTTGCAGAATGGGGTGGGGGTGGAATCAGCCACTGGTTGTGGGGCACAGGAACACTCTCAAATAGTGCAGTGGAGGCAATGGAATTCGCCGCTTCTGCTGAGTGGTGCTTTTCATCCTTCAGGCTAATGAATAACAATCAATTGCTTTGAGTGGAAAGGGTGGCTGGATTAGTTGCAGGTCAGTGGAGGCTGCAGTTCTGCTTTTCAATTTTTAATTTTAAAAATAGTCCTTTCCTTTAGGAAAGAAATGAAATTAAAAACAAATGAAATTAAGAAAATCATTGGGAACCTAAGAACTGTGAGTCCTGTCTACAGGATGTTTCCAGCTCTTGCCTGAGGAAGAGAGGGGGGTGGGGGGGTGTAGGGCAGAGTCTGATAGTCTCTCCATGTTCTTGAGAGGAGTTTCCCATTGCAGCTCATCGAAAGGTCCCCCAAGACTCTCCCACGGTCCATGGTATACATCTGCATCATCACCTTCGTCATGGGAGCCAGCATCCACCTGGTGGGGGACTCCGTCAACCACCGGCTGATCTTCAGCGGCTACCAGCTCCACTTGTCCGTCCGGGAGAACCCCATCATCAAAAACCTCAAGCCAGAGACACTGGTAACGAGAGGTTTTGGTGCTTCCTGCCTGTTTTGTTTCTGCTGCTGGCTGGGAAACTTTCATTGGCTTGACTCTCATTTCCTTCCTTTCCAGATTGATTCATTTGAACTGCTGTATTATTATGATGAATATCTGGGCCATTCAATGTGGTAAGTAAACTGCAGGGCGTTTCCCGCACATCAGGTTGGGGTATTGTGTTGGTGTTCCTCGCTCCCCCCCCCCTTTTCTTGGAGGAGAAAATGTCACTCAACAACAATAATAATTCCTATTTTATTTCATAAAATCTATACACCATTTAATTGTAAAAAAGCAGCTTACAAAGAAAATAAAACAATAATATCATCAGTAAAAACAACTCTTTAAAACATTCAATGGATAAAATCCGTAATAAACTAAAAACAGATCAAATCAATCACCAACATTTACATCTATTGGTAGGCGTGTCTAAACAAAAATGTTTTTAGCAGGTGTCAAAGGGAGTACAGCAAAGGCATCTGTCTGATGTCAAGAGGCGGGGAGTTCCAAGTGCAGGTGCTGCCATACTAAAAGATCAAGTGCTTACAAATGTGGAACTGATATGATGTGGCACTTGTAACGGGGCCAGTTCCAACAATCAAAACAGCTGAGTGAGCATTTAAGGGGTAAGGCGATCTTGCAGGTAAACTGGTCCCAGGTTGTTAAGGGCTTTATATACTAATAGCAACACCTTGAACCTTGTGCCTCTTTTTCAATTGGTTCCCAAAAATCATTTATGACAATTAAAATCTTGGCTTGGTTCCCTCTCCTCCACAGCAGGTTTTTAATTAAACTCTGCACATCTCTTTTGGCTTGATCCTTTGTGGAGGTGCATTTTACAGATCTCTCTCTCCCACATTTTTTTTTCGGGGGGGGGAAGATTTTCTCACCCCCTATTAACAGTAGCATAAGAAGTCCATTTCTGGTTGTGTCCGCATTTCGCTCTCAAACAGTCCTGACAGGAGGAAGGCATGACTTTAGAAGGCACATACATAAATGATCCTCCACTGGGAAGTGGAGGGGGGAGCAGCAGTAAGGACCCAAAATGAAATGAGCATTCTGGATTTAACAGCGATAGGCAGCTTGAACGGATAACCTTTTCTTCTGTTGCGTGTGTTCCCTGGTAAAATTGGTGACATTTATCCCTGGCTAATATGCGGCAGAATTTGGCTCAGAGAGACTTGACGTCTTTGGTTCTGGTTATTGACCTGTGATGCTAGCCATTGCCCTGGGCTGCGGAAGGAGCAGTGAAATGTCCTTGTGCCTCTTAACTTCTGCATAAGTCCTGGAAGACGGCAGCTTGCATGAGAGGCCCCCTTGCGCTTTTCTCCTTAAGCCATTCCTTGCATCCAGTTCCACCCAGACTTCTCTCGCTGACCTCCCCAGAAGCTCTGTGTTATCTCCCAAATCAATTGTGCTTTCGTTCGTTCGTGTGGCCATGGGTGGTTGCCAGCTGCGATTAGATAACAAACCGAGCATCTAAGCCAGCCCCTGCTTTTACTTGATTAAGAGCTAGGGTTAAAGTTAGCGGTTAGTTAGACCAGCCTCCCCCACCAACTGGGGATGATGGGAGTTGTAGTCCAAGACATCCGGAGGACAAATTCACAGAGGAGAGGGCTATCATTGGCTACTGGCCACAATGGCTGTGGTCTGCCTCCACATTTGGAGGCAGCAGTGCTTCTGAATGCCAGTTGCTGGAAACCACAGGAGGCGAGAGGACTCTTTTTCTTAGGTCTTGCATGTAGGTTTCCCACTTGCATCTGGGTGGCCACTGTAAGAAGAGAATGCTGGACTAGATGAGCCACTGGCCTGAACCAGCCAGACTCTGCTTATAAGGGCAAGGATTGCTTGCCTGCCTGCCTGCCTGCCTGCCTGCTTGCTTTATGAATGAATGAACGAACGAACGAACGAACGAACGAACTTTCTGGCTCTCAGGGCTGTAAGGAGCAGATTGAAACCATCTGCAGAGGACCTGGTCAGATCTCTGGGAAAAGGGACAGAGCACAGACCTTTACTACCACAATGCTCTTGTTCAGAGACTTCACCCAGTCTTCATGCTGTTACAGCTGAAGCAAAGATCCCCTCTTTTCTGCATTAAATCTGGGGAGGTGCCTGTTGACAGTGTCTGCTGATGGCTCCATTGCAATTGTGTTCCCTCTCGCAGGTACATCCCTTTCTTCCTTATCCTGTGCATCTATTTTTCTGGCTGTTTCATCCCCATTAAAGAAGAGCAGCAGAGGATACCTGTGGCTGCTTTACTCCTCATTGGGCCCAGCAGCCTCTATTACTGGTAAGTGACCCAGGTGTGGCTTTGGAGAGGAGGAGGGGGGGAAGTCATTTAGATGCTACACAGCTACATGAGGCCACGGATGCATCATCGGGGGGTGGGCAGCCGGTGTTCAAAGGCTACTGCAAACATCCTGAATCTTAACCAAGATCCCTAGTTGTAACTTGGAAGAGTAAAATTTGTTCCTCTTAAGTAACACACATCTGTTTTTAATTGTTTTTCTGGAATATTGTTTTTCTTCAAAGTATTGCTGGTGCTGCTTTTAACTGTGGTGTAAAGTTGTCCTAGATCAGTGGTTCCCAAAGAGCATGGTACAGCCCTTTGCGGGGGGGGGGGCGGGGGACGGGACACTAAAAGACAGGGGGCACTGGAGGTGTAAATGACTATCAGACCTTGAAAAGCTGGTATCCCTGAATCAAGTTCATCAGTCTTGTTGAATTAATTAAGCTAGATAGCTTTATTTGGTTTTTTAAAAATAATTGTTAATTAATTACCATTTTGAATTTCATTGTGTTCTTATCTTCCTTAGAAGGGTCATGCAAACCGCTATTCTGAATCATTCTTTTTATAGGGTAGGGGCCCACTAGGGATGAGTTTATGGAACCAAGGGGACGGTGGCCCGGAAAGGTTTGGGAAACCCTGGTCTAGATCATTTCAATAGTTATCACAACAATTGTTTGCAACCTGCCTTGATTTAGATTTCCTACAGCAAGGCAGGACACAAACGTCAGAAACAAGCTGTGTGCTGGGAAGCCAACCTGGGAGACCTCTTGCCTGAGAGGCATCTTCTTCCAGTGCTGAATGTCGTCGCCTTCCCCATCTGCCTGCTTTCTCTTCCCTGCTTTATCAAGAAGCTCTCTGACCCGCGTCCCTTTCCCCCCTGCTTGCAGGTACCTTGTCACAGAAGGGCAGATCTTCATCCTCTTCATCTTCACCTTCTTTGCTCTGATGGCTCTGGTGATGCACCAGAAGCGGAAAGGCTTGCTCATGGACAGCAACGGACGCTTCCTTTTCTACTCCTTCATCATCACACTGGTATTGATCGCCCTGTGGGTCGGCTGGCTCTGGAACGACAAGATCCTCAGGAAGAAATACCCCGGCGTCATCTACATTCCGGAACCGTGGGCTTTTTACACCTTGCACATGAGTAACCTGCACTCTGCAAAGGGGGAGAGCATTTAACTTTGACTCTTTGGTTGGGGGGCGGCGGAGAGAGAGAATTTGAAAATGCAACCCTTGGCCCCAGTCTGCTCTGTTGCAAGCACCATTGAAGAGGGCATGATGTGTGCAGTGGATCAGGCCCACAGTACAGAGCAAGAGAAGTTCCTTTCTCCCCCACCACCACAAAAAAAAATTCAATGGCTAATCCTAACGTAGCTCAGATAAAGTGCTGCATTGTGGTCCTATGCAGGTTTACATGGAAACAAGCTCCAGTGAATTCATTGGGGCCTACTCGCAAATAAAGCCAGGCCTACTCAGAAATAAATGCTGTTGAATTCAGTGAGGCTTCATGCCCACGTAAATTGGGTTAGGGTTGCAGCCCATGTCTGTTTAGAATCACAGCCTTAGTCCGTAATAAGGGCATGTGTGGGTTGTACAGAGAATTATTTACACCCATTGGGACCCACCATTGAACCTGAAATATTTGTCTGCTTGAGCTCTAGGTTTCTTCATCCTTCTAGTTCCTATGGCTGATAAGGTAACCTTGTAAGCACATCAGCAGAGACTGTGAGGATCTCAGAAACCAGAGAGGATCATCTCCAGCAGGCCTCCCATGGTCAGGGCAGGTTCAGCGCTATGCATACCCACTTGTTCCCTGTTTTCCTTCCTGTGTCCTGCAGAATAAACTATGCAAAAGAGAAGTGAATCTGCTTCTTCTGTACAGTCTAGCTTAGTTCTCGCTGCCTTTTTCTTAAAGCCCAGGGTTGGGAGAGGCCCACCGATGTCTGCTTTTGGTTTTGAGAGCAGCTACTGCTGAAATTTTCAGTGGGAGTTGCTTTTTTGTTTTTGTTTTCTTTATCTTAATAGATAATAGATTTTGAAATGCCCTCTGATCATTTTGCAAGAGGAAGAATACTGTTGATCCCACTGGGGACCCCACTTCTTAAATCACTCCATAAGGCCCTGCTGGGCTCACTATCTGAAGCAGCTGGAGGGCACCAGGTTGGGGAAGGCTGTAGAAGATGCAGGTGCATGCATGCGCACACACAGCCATGTTCAGAACCTGATCCTAAAGCAGAACCTCAAGAATGGCCACTGAGGCATACTCCACAGCTCTGATCACGCTCTGATCAGGAAGGCTAAATTTCTGCCACTTGTCGAAATGGATGTTTCCTCCTTGCCGCATGCCCTCTTTGTTCCACTGTCTGTTCTCCTCTCTATGCTTTTCCTCCCCTTTGATACTCAGGTAGAAATTTTTTAATTCTAAGGGAGGTGCACGGTTATTTCTTCAAAACTTTTTAAGGACTTGTTGAGTAGAACTTTCCTTTGTAACCTCAAATTCCTGGACCGAACCTTCATTGACTGTTCGCCTTCCATGACTTTGCCGTGTGTACATTTATCCTGAGTGTGATCCAAACTAAAAGTTTGTTGGCAGAGAAATAAAAGTTTGCTAAAGTCTTTGTGGGCTGAGATTTTATTTTTTTTTTAAAAAAACATTTGTTAATACAGACCAAGGTGGAATCTAGACACATATAAGTAACACACTGTGAAATGCCTTTTTAAAAGCGTTTTGAGAAATATATTGAATTTGCCATAAGCTCACCATTGCCAACTAGTGTCACGTTTGCATAATGCACTTAAAACATATTTGCAGCTATATAGCTGAGTCCCAAGTCTCCATTTCCTGAACCTGGCCTGATAGCTAACTGGCAGCCAGTGCAAGCCTTTCAGCTGCAGCATTATACAAGTGTTAAATAGCACTGGGTACAGGATGGTGCCCTGTGGCACCCAGCAGCATAGTTGTCAGAGGGTCAAGAAATAATCACCCTGAAATCAACCCTGAGATAGAATTGGAACCGCTGCAAAACAGTGCCCATTTCACAGAACCTATTCAAGAGGATACCGTGGCCAATGGTACCAAAAGCTGTTGAGAAAACAGCAAAGAATGGCAGGGTCTCATTGCACCTGTCCTCTCAATAAAAGTCATCCTTAAGGCAATCAAGCCTAATTCAATCCCATAAAGTCCCAGGCCTGAACCCTAATTGGAATGGGTCGATCTGATCAGTTTCATCCATGAGTACTTCCATCTGTGTGGGGTTGGGTGCCACAACCTTCTCAATCCCCTTTCCCCCAAAAGGGGGTATTTGCAACCAAACGGTAGGGGTCCAGGGACATTCTCAGGAGTGGTCATATTTCCACCTCTTTCAAGGGTATCGTACTTTAGGTTATGCGGCATATTTATTTAGCCAAACTTCCTTGTTTCCACATACAGTGGTACCTCGGGTTACGTACGCTTCAGGTTACATACGCTTCAGGTTACATACGCTTCAGGTTACAGACTCTGCTAACCCAGAAATAGTGCTTCAGGTTAAGAACTTTGCTTCAGGATGAGAACAGAAATCGTGTTACGGCGGCGCGGCAGCAGCAGGAGGCCCCATTAGCTAAAGTGGTCTTCAGGTTAAGAACAGTTTCAGGTTAAGAACGGACCTCCGGAATGAATTAAGTACTTAACCCGAGGTACCACTGTACTGCATTTGTTCAGGTGCTGAGAGCAATTGTCCCAAGGCATTGTTGATGCTTGAAAGGAAGATCCAAATGGTGGCCCTCCGCTCCCTAATTAATACAGGGCAAAATTCCTGGGAGATGTTATCTTTGCACAGTCACTATTCAGCTCAACTGGTTTGTAATTAAAAAACAGCAACTTGAGACCACATGGGGCAGACCTAGTTGTCTCTCACTCTGCCGCCATTAACCGTCTCTCCTGCCTTCATGGCTAAGGCCCCCTCTGGATAAAAACCTATTTAATCCTAGCAACGTTTTGGGCAGTGCTTTTTTTATTGGGGGGGGGGAAGGTGCTTGTACTCTCTGCCCAGAAATGGCTGGAGGAGAGACAGCCGAGTGGGGAAAAGGAGGCGGCACTTTGAACATGCTCAGCGGACTGCCACAGATGCTTCGGCCTTCACCTGAGGCTGCGGTGGCAGGGGGAGGCTGCTGCTGGGGCCACCCACCCTGCGAGGGGCCTCCTCATGAGGGCAGCAGCTGGACGTGCTTGGCAGCGAAATGCTGAGGTAAATGTAGGAGGTGTTAAGGTGGCAGATTCGGGGCAGGAAGGGGGCTTTGCTTGGGTGCAAGAAGGGCGGAAGCAGCGGCTCCTGAGGCACCTACAGAAGGGAAGGGGAGGGAGAAGCCGGTTAGGATGGGAGGCAGTGGCGCCAACGGTGATGTAGAGGCCTCCGGTGTAGCTGCACCAACAGCAGCTTGTGCATCATCACAGCAAACAGCAAAGGGTGAATGACAGGACGTGTCCCAAGGTGAAAGACTTATGGGGAAAGATTTATAATGAGTTGAAAAAAATGTTGAAAAATACATTTATTAAAAAACCAGAGGCCTTTCTACTTGGAATAATAGGACTGGAACTTCCTAAAAAAGATGTTAGATTATTTTTGTATGCCACTACAGCGGCAAGATTGCTACTAGCTAAAAACTGGAAATCTCAAGAACTACCAACAGTAGAAGAATGGCAAATGAAGATGTTAGACATTTTGGAGCTGGCCGACCTGACGGGGAGAATCCGCAATCAGAAAGAAGAGGAATATCAAGAAGATTGGAAGAAATTTAAAGACTATTTAGCCAAACATTGTAATATAAAACAACAGAAGTCACTTGAAAGTATCAAAATGGCTTAGGATTGGAGTATGAATGTATTGTAAAACATTATGGATTTAGGACATGTTGAAAAGAAAGGAAGATAGTTATTTGAAGGAGTTAATTTTATTAGAAAGAGGATATTGGAGAACTGTTACAAGGTGATTCAATGAAATTCAGATAGGGGGGATTTGAGGAAGTCAGTTAACAATTGAAATTGGGTCCTAGAGTAATATTGGTTCATATTTTTGTCTTTTTCTTTTCTTTTTCTTTTTTAGTAATGTAATGTCTTTTTCTTTGTGTGTTATATTTGTTATAAATTTGGAAAATCAATTAAAAAATTTGAAAAAAAGGGTGAATGACAGCACCCCGCAAGGCCCGAGCAGGTGGGTGCCTACCGTCTCTGAGCGCATAAAGCTGGGAAAAGGTAGGAGGGGCAATTCAACACCCACACACACACCCAACTTTGGTTGAAACCTGTGCGGAGAGAATTCTCTAGGTGTCACGAGAGGAGTGGCCAAGAGAAAGGGTACTTCATTCCGGCTCATTCCAGCAGAAAAAAGCACAATTTGGGGGACCAAATTTTTAAAGTGAGGCCTAAGCATCCGGGGGGGGGCGCGGGTGGCGCTGTGGGTTAAAGCCTCAGCACCTAGGACTTGCCGATCGAAAGGTCGGCGGTTCGAATCCCCACGGCGGGGTGCGCTCCCGTCGCTCGGTCCCAGCGCCTGCCAACCTAGCAGTTCGAAAGCACCCTCGGGTGCAAGTAGATAAATAGGGACCACTTACTAGCGGGAAGGTAAATGGCGTTCCGTGTGCTGCGCTGGCTCGCCAGATGCAGCTTTGTCACGCTGGCCACGTGACCCGGAAGTGTCTTCGGACAGCGCTGGCTCTTGGCCTTTAGAGTGAGATGAGCGCACAACCCTAGAGTCTGTCAAGACTGGCCCGTACGGGCAGGGGTACCTTTACCTTTACCTTTAAGCATCCGGGGGAATCTCTTGTCCTGCTTTCTTCTGCTGGAAGATTCATCCATGCTAACTCCTAGTGGTTGAGTGACCTCCGCGTGTCCTCCTGAAACAATCGCATTAAGCATTAGCAAATGGGCACTAGTTGGTATTTAAACACAGCATGAGGTGTCTTGAAATCTTTTTGGGATTACCAAGCCTTTGAGGCGCTCTATCATTTGGGGGATTCCAGGGTGGTAATTGCTGCTTTTAGTATGGTGGCATTTTCTAACAACTGTCACCCTTGTTTCTTTGCTTTTGTTTGTTTGTTTAGAAACACCTATGGAGAGGTGAAAAACAGCTTCTAGTAAATCGACATTTCCATGGCCTACTTACTGTCTGTTTAGTAGCTGCTGAAATCCAACACACAGCATGTCCTGTATCCATGACAGCAAAGAGTATTTATTACACCTGCTGCTTCTGGCACAGGTGGACTTTAGACCTCGACCATACTAAGTCAGACGCGGAAGGCAAAGAGACTAGCAGGCTGGCAGGCAAAAGGAGTGGCACACCCCACTGAAAAGGGCAATTAATACCCAACAATGGTGAATGAAGGGGGACGGAATCTAGCTTCTCTATGTGTGTTGGAGATGACTGGGAGGGTGATGTTTCTTGCTTTGCAGATTACAGTTTAATTTATCAAACTTTCCCTTTTGTTCCTTTTGTGTGTTGCAGGCAAAATTCCTGTCCCAAGATCAGATCAATGGTATGTACCTTTTAACAAAACACTCTTTGAAACTAATTAAATGCTCTTACCTTCTTCTTGTGTGTGTCATTGAAGCACTGAGGAAGGTCATTTTTAAGTCTTTAAAATATTGGGGAAGTGAGTGCCCACATCTTCACTAGGTATCATGGCACCAAGGATGCCACCATTTAATGCAGGGTTTCCCAAACTTGAGTATCCAGCTGTTTTTGGACTGCTTTTCATAATCCCTGACCACTGGTCCTGCAAGCTAGGGATTATGTGAGTTGCAGTCCAAAAACAGCTGGAGACCCAAGTTTGGGAAACGCTAGTTTAATGTCTTTTGCAGTTCTTTATAGACGGCTTGTCTACTGATGCATCTGAAGGCAGCCCTGTATAGGGAAGTTTTTTAATGTCTGGTGTTTTACTGTGGTTTTATAATTTGTTGGAAGCTACCCTGAGTGGCTGGGGCAACCCAGTCAGATAGACGACATATAAATAATTACTACTACTACCTTAGAAACAGATAATAAAAGAAATAACTTCGGCTACCAAGAACCGCTGCTTGTTCTCAGCCACAAAGTCCTTGTTGATGTGAAAAGTTAAGCACAGCTTTACAGTGGTTTCTGCTTTTCAAAGGAAGAGTTGCTGTTTTACATTGAAACAGGTTAGCATTATATTACTGTTTTCCTGCCGTTTTGTCCAGTTGTTTTCCAAGTGTTGCTCATGCAGTGGTTATAGTAAAGGTAAAGGGACCCCTGACCATTAGGTCGAGCCGTGGCCGACTCTGGGGTTGCGGCGCTCACCTCGCTTTATTGGCCAAGGGAGCCGGCGTACAGCTTCTGCGTCATGTGGCCAGCATGACTAAGCCACTTCTGGCGAACCAGAGCAGCACACGGAAACACCGTTTACCTTCCCACCGGAGCGGTACCTATTTATCTACTTGCACTTTGACGTGCTTTTGAACTGCTAGGTTGGCAGGAGCAGGGACCGAGCAAGGGGAGCTCACCCCGTCACGGGGATTCAAACCGCCAACCTTCTGATCAGCAAGTCCTAGGCGCCACCCACGTCCCAATGCAGTGGCTATAGTAATCTGAAAAGAAATAAAAATGAAATGATAGAGAGGGACT